GAATAGGTACTGTTTCAATTACTTATTACATCTGTTTGTCATTTCTGTTCCATGCATAATTTAAAAGGTGAGTGGTTAGGCATAGAGACGTTCTGTTTATTGTTTCGTATATAAAAGCCTTACCAAAACATGCTCATTTTACACCAATAAAATGCCAAAATATTAATGACCAAACAGTAATTCAACTTGCAGATATTTTACTTTTAAAGTAAAATTTTCAGTAATTTCTATATCGGGAAACCATTCGTAAAAATACTTTACATGTACATAATTCTTTTAATACATACTGAATTTTGCCGATGAAAATGTCTTTAATATTCGAACTCTAACTTTAAAATGTAAATTGACATCATTTTTAATCAAAGTGACACATCTTTGGAAACTATCAAGATACCAAAAATAAACTTTCATTCTTTAAAGATAATTTTGTTCATGTAAGTTTATCATCACAGCACATCATAATTCGATAAAAAAACAGAGTTTATTGACTATAATTAACAGATATTTTGAAATCGAAAAAAAGTTTGTATTGAACATATTTAGGTACGTGTGCAGAGGCCATTGCCTTTCATGCCGATTTCAAACGTCATCTCAGGAATGTTCCTGTAAACACCATTATTAAATTTGACAATGTCCAGTTGAACAAAGGCAAAGGATACGATCCAAAAACAGGGGTCTTTACAGCACCGGAGGATGGTCTTTACTCTTTTGATTGGTTATCTATGTCTACGAGGGGTGCAAGTTTATACCTTTGCGTCGTTGTTGATCATGACTGCCGTGTGGGTACCTGCATTGATAAACAACAAAGTGGATCTACAACCGGACACTTTGTAACTGACCTGAAGAAAGGAAGCAGAGTATGGATCCGGGTTGCCTACCGCAATGCACAGTTAATTAATGGTGCTTTGTACAATTACTTCTCTGGATTCAAAATCAATTAACACTGAGGAACTCTGAGCACAAATCTAGAGTTGTAAAGTTTTATTCAATCTTTACATATTGATTATAAAAATAAAATGTTGCTTGGGTCTTCTTGGCCCTTTATTTTTTTTTCATCTCAATTCTATTGTTATTTGGAACATGAGTATATACATGTACTATCCTAATTATTTTTTTTTAGTAGGTATACTATCTAAGAAAACAAATCTTATTTATAGGTCTGCGTCCTGGATAATTTTGATGGGCATCAGTTTTAGAAATGTTTGTAAGATACATCAGTGCTATTTACCCATTTCTATTTTATTTGGATACTGAAGGAAGTAAATTGGTTTATTTTTAGCCTCCAAACTTTGAATTACGTATATGATATTTTATTGCAGCATTAGATAAAATAAAAACAATACAAAACAATATATAGTAGCAATGTAAATACACAAAATATCTATAATTCTTCATGTGTTTTTTTTTTTAAATCATCGGCATTATTACATTGTATAGATATAACCTTCTTAAGTTCGTGATATTTGTCCCCATTGTTCACAAAAAAGTGATATTAATATCTGTCTGCCTGTCTGTTCGTCCGCCTACATTTCTGTGTGTCTCTTACACATTTGTTTCTTAGAGATACCCGAGAAGTCTTTGAGTTTTTACAATGACATTTTACACTCCCTATGACTTAAGCAAGACCTCTATTTATTTTTGGATCAAAAGTCAGGGTCGTAAATTCAAACATTCTCTTTGTAGGTAAAATTTTTATTTCCAATATCACAAGTAGCTTCTAAGGCTTTGCCATGAAAATTTATATCATATCTCCTACGGACCCACCTGCCATTCTTAAAATGTCCCCTTTCTAGATCCACGCATACTCTACTCTATTTATATCTTAAGCTGGGAACACGACTTTTTAATTAGCTTATTGCTACTATTTATAATGACGAAGTATCGTTATATAAATGCAGACCCTTTAGGTTTCATTTATGTATTCTATATGATTCACATCCAAATATATAAGTATAATCTTTCTCTTTGACAAAGATATATTACAACAAAAATGTGTTGTGAAGACTTCCAAAATAATACCTCATCTTTCGAAAAATTATATATACAAACGTATAATTATTTATTATTATCATTCGTTCAGAAATTTGATTCCTGAAAAAAAATTGTGTCAATCTCATGGTTTTCCGTATTGTTGTCATTGTAATATCAGAAATTTTCAAAGTCAATGATAGGAATTTAAAAAAAAGTTCCTCTAATAACTCGTATAACAGAGCGGTCATATTTAGTTGAAGCCATTTAGGAGACTCAAACAAAAACACTCAATAGGTCACTTTGATAGCTTTGATAGAGGATATGGGTTTGATATGTAGATATGGATGGCAGCATGAAATGATTTTATGAAGCACTCCCCTACGACCAATGCAATTAATTCTAATGATTTATATCACAAGCAGGATATGTACATATATATTATAATTACCATACAGGCAAATCGAATATAACACGTTAAACACGACTCCGTGTATAAGACTTTTCAAAAAACGTTGTGAGAAACGATTGGATTTTATTTAACCATGTCTTTGGTAATTAATGATATTTTTCAGCAAGAGGAAATGAAGTATGATTGATTTAAGGAATAACTGTCTTATTTTTCGAATTCATGAAGTGATCAATGGATTGGCTTGTGTGATAATTTGCATAAACGCCGAAGGCGTTTATGCATAAAATTATCACACAAGCCAATCCATTGATCATCTTCATGAATTCGAAAAATCTGACAGTTATTCCTTATATTTACATGCTTTGATTCCGCCAATCCACGGGCTCCAAGCCTGCTTCTCTCTAGGTGTTGTCCCGCCCTGCACGTGGTTTTTTTTGGAACCGCGCCAAAACATTCATGAAGAAATAAATTACATTTACAATTGGTAATTTGATCTCGGACAAAGACATTGGAAATGTAAATATTTTGCTTATGAACCATTTAAGAACAAAATGATAGAAGTGCATGTAGAGTCCTTTCTAATTAATTCTTTCTACTCACTATGACTACTGTTTCCCCAATCTCTCACCAGAGGGCGTATTACGCTTCGTGACAACACCTCTGTCAACGTCTTAATGCCAAGATTCTTGGCAAAACTTACTTTTACCTTTTGCATCATATATTATAAATGTAAATTTTTATATTCTTGCTTAACATCTGAAATGAAAGTTTAATAATGAGAATTAAAATCAGATATCGCTTTTTCACCATATCTTTCGAGGGATTATTTCTCGGCAGGATATTACGAACGTGGAAAATGTAAAATGATAAATATCAACATATCGCATGGTTAAGTTTTTATAAACAAGCAACTTGCAGCATTGACATATATATCAAAATGTAAAGGCGTTAATCTTCTTGTTATCCATTTTAAACAACATTTGAAAAAAATCTCGTTCCTTTGCTTCCGCACTACTTTTAGAAGTTGACAGAGGTATAAGTGGAACGATGATTCTGGGTAGAGATTGCTGATTCCCAACACAAGGATGCCTGGAACACAAAGCACAAGGACCTTACAAAGAAGACTTCGAAACTTAAAAGGTGGAAGATAAATGAACAAGCAAATTCAAAGAATTGTTGTTCCCCGTTTTCGGAGTCTTATAGTGGGTGAAACGGCATTATTTATACCTTATTGTTTCAAATATGAACTCCCTTTCTAATGTCATTTAAAAGTATTTACCAAAGTTCTCAATAAAAAATATAAGAAAAAAAAACCTTTTTTCTTCTAAATCAAAAGTTATAAGGAAAGGTAACAGTTTACATATAGACAGAGTGCATTTAGAAAACTAAGTCATATTTCATGTTACATTAATTATGTATTCAAGGAACTCGTAGATAGGCAACATCTTACAACTGTTTACAAATAACGAAACCAGGATAAGGCTTCAATGGACATCACAGTACATCCTGTTTATTAACTTTAACTACTTATATATTCAATGTTTCTGTGTGCTCGTCAATTAAATTCAAATGATATTTTGAATAGTCCCTAAGCTAGAAAAAAAACAACAAATAATATAAAAAGAACCAAAAAAAAAATTTAAAACCCTATTTAGAGACCAAATTTTGTTGTTAATATCATAAACTAAATTTTAAATAGATACATTTTTTGAATGACTTTCATATAAAACGTGGTCAGCAAAAATTGCCAAGGCTTCAGGCCGGATGTGGTACCCGACAGCTAGGTGAAACAGGAATTGAATCAGAGCATATTAATTTTGTCCATAGGAATTCTTACGTCTATTCATTATATTTGGATGGCTGCTGTTATAATGCTGCAGAATTCTCTTCCAAAGCTGATTATTTTACTGTTTCTTCTTCACGTGCACCATCTCTTGAAGAAATGTACATCTGAAAAATATTACAATGATATCATAAACAATTGACAAAAATAGACTTATAATTGTACTAGATTACAAAATGCTTCAAATGCGAGGCGGTATTTGCTGTTTAAAGTAAAATGTGTTTGAAATTTATAATTATCAACTGCAATCTGATCATCTTACGCAGAGTGTATACGGCGCGGATCCAAGAAGTCTGATTATAATTAAATTGTTATCAATTGTATCGTGAAACAATCTCCTTCTGTAAAATTACAATTTGAATATGTATTTCAGCATTAGTTCATTTTTTGACAAAAGAAAAATGTTAAACGAAAATCACTTACGTTAAAAAATAGTCCAGTTGGCTGTGATTGCGACGTTTTTAATTATGTACGAATGAAATAATTGTTTAAAATTTTTGTAAACAAAGATGATTTTAGTATGATTTAAAATACGTCTCTATAAAAGATGAATATATTGGGAAAAAAAAATGAATAATGAATGCATAAGAATTTTATCATGCCTTTTGTCAGTCCATGATAGTTTTTTTATCACCTCTCGTACGTACAAATAAATTTTACTCAACAATTCATATTTCAATTGCCCCAGATATGCAAAAAAAAATCTTTAGAGACACAACTCTAGTATGATAGGACTTCACTTTTTATTTGAATTAGCAACACATCATGAGTAACGAATTTTAGCAATCCTGAACTCTTTAATTTATATTTAAAAGATTGAAATTTTTGTTTTCAATATTTGCATTATTGAGGGATAGTTGTCTGTCTATTACCCCAGAGACACGGTGAAAATCCCAATTAATCAAGCAAAATCCGCAATTACTTCTGTAGCAAATCCGTATTAAGATGCATACACAGGATATAATATATCCGTGACAAACGTACGAAAGTGTTTGAAATACATTTAGTGCGGCAGAGTTAATTAGTCGTAGGCATAGCACACCAGTTTGAAAGATGAATTGGAAACTGTTTACGTTGGTTTTCTGTGCTTTGTTATTTGAAACTGTAATTGGAGATTGTGACATGAGGTGTACCTGCAGAAATTCGACCATATGCTCTGGAACATTCGCTGATTGCTCGAAGCAATCATTAACAATGGTACCTTCTACTCATCCTAGCGACACATGTGTTTTGTAAGTATTTAGGTATAAAGCATATCCCTAATTTGATGATTTTCATCATGGTATAAATGCCTTTGTCCGCCTACTTTATTAATCATTATATTTTTACATTTAAACGTAATAATCCTTGAAGTTAGATATTGCAGCGATTTCATTACTCTAAACTTTAATATCCAATAAATTGATTCTTTTAATGATAATCTAAAATTTCGAGACTGTAAGTTTTTTTTTAAAATATTCTTTGGACATCAATCCTCCAAAGTAATTATATTTCATTCATTCATTTTTAATGACTCTTTGCAGTTTATAAAGCGTAAACGTCCCGAACCCATTTTATACAGTGTACATTTTATGTATTGACATTGTGAAGCTAAGAAAAATTATATACGTGATCATTGCATAATAATAAATTTTATTCTGACATTTGCTCCACGTTTTTTTCTAGACGTCTGAGCGAGAACATGATAACCAAAATTGAGAACACCACACTTAATGGTTTGACAAACTTAGGAACATTGTAAGTTTTTTTCCTGACAGTTTCTTACTACTAATATGCTTTGGAGTATTAATTTTAATTACAAACAGTATAATAGAAGTTACTCACTAGATTTATTTAAAATATATAAAGAGGATGTTTAATGAATCTATCAAGGATTGCATGGATGAGTTAATGTGAAATACGTAATTCATATTGACGGAGAAATAAGTTGAGCCTTAATATAATGAAATCCTTATTTTATCCATTATTCATTGACGCTTCGTAGATTATAAAGCGTAAAATGCCCAAACTAAGTTTATATTCCGCCTATTAAATAATCTTTAGTCTTAAAATATATATTTGATGAGGTTGTTTTTAATGATATCCTCTTTGAATCCATTGTTCATCGATGCTTCGCATCTTATAAAGAGTAAACTGTCCAAACCCAGTTTATATTGTAGCTATTAAATTTAGTCTTAAAATAGACATTGATGGTATTGAGATCGAGGCTAGAAAGAATAATTTATGTAATAATTGTCTTTTTAATTTTTTTACTTTCTCCTTAAAAATGCATTCGAAAAAAAGATTCATTTTGAAAAAAAAATGATTTTGGCATTCATTTTTTTTACATTTCTTTTTCAGAGAGTTGTACGATAACAAGATAACCGAAATAGAAGACAGTGCATTCATTGATTTGGCAAATTTGGGACTTTTGTAGGTTTTTTTCTAATAGTTTTAAACAACAGATATATTTCTTAGAGTATCAACCCACCAAAGTATAATACACTTTGATTTGATAAAACAATTTCAAGAGCAATAGTATCGTCTCTTGAATTTTTATTCGTGAAGAATAAACAAAGTAACCTAAATTTCGACGTTAATTTTTCACAATTTATTTCCAGATTTTTGAACGGAAACAAAATAACCACCATAACGAAGAGCACATTTGTGGGTTTGTCAAATCTAACACTTTTGTAAGTCTTTTTCCTTATAGTTCCTAACTACAGATATGTTCAATCTAATTAAAATCAGACTTCCTAGATCCGCGCCGTATTCACTCTGCGCAGAGTGAATACGGCGAAAATCTAGGAAGTCTGATTTTAATAAGATTGCAGATATGTTTTGGAATATCAACCCGATAATGTAAAATAAACTCTGTTTTTATTCAACAATTTCAAGAATTATGGTCTCCTAGATTATTTTACATTCAAATTGAGCCCTTAACCTTAAAAATCTGAATGTTTATAACGAAGTGTATGATAGAAATATATGTAACTCACTAGATTAATTTGTAATATGTGACTATTATGTACGACTTATATTGAATTAAAGGAATAAGTTAATGTGTAATTCAGATTCATGTACCGTGTTGATGGAGGAAGAATTTGAACGTTTATATACAGTTCAACAGGGTTATACCGAAGTCAATCGGACAAACTAAATTACTTCGCTCTATCGTTAATTCATTATATCTGTATAAGGAATTCGTTTAATTTATGTAGCTGGGTATTCAAAATAACTTCATTCTTTCCTTGAATTCGCAATATCCGTCTTCGTACTAAACGGGTTTTACTGTAATAAGATTGATAATTCTTGGGGTTGGCATAGTGAGGCTAGATCTATGCCTTCTTATCAAAATTATTGTTTAAAGAAAAGGGTAAAGTTATCATGATTTTTTGGGTGATATATACTAGCACTTGTATAAGTGACCATTCTTAATTCACTCTTAACTTTTTTTCCTTTAAGGTATGTGTATGAAAACAGCATCTCCACAATAGAGGATAACGCGTTCAATGATTTGACAAAATTAGAGAAACTGTAAGTTCTTTATTCAAAATATTTTTGGGATGTAAATCCTCTAAACTCATGACACTTCGCAGTTTATAAAGCGTAAACAACCCAAACTCAGTTTTAACGTGTAAATTTCAAGTTGTTGCATTGTGAAGCTAGTTGGAATTATTCACTTGTTAATTGACTTTTAAAGGCATTTATTTTTTAAAATTGAAGAAACTATAATTATGCATGAAAATGCTCTTGCTCTTGGCTTTCACTTTTCTCATTTTTTCCAGATATCTGTACGAGAACATGATATCCAAAATTGGGAATAACACACTCACTGGTTTGACGAACTTAACAGAACTGTAAGTTGCTCTTGATTAATTCCTAAGGTTTTGGAGTATTAATCAACCAAAGTATTATATACTATGTTTTTATTCTATAATTTCAATAACGATAGCATCGTCTTTTGGATTTTTTTCTCAACTTTTTATATTGCTCTGAACCTTTAGAACAAAGTATGATAGAAGTAGCTTACTTGATTTATTTGAAATGTATATGTGACGAATATGTATATTGAAATACTAGTATTTAAAGATTAAAAGGATAAATACGGGACGAGTAATTCAGATTTACGGATAAAAATGAGGTTGTTTATGTTAATATAGATCTAGTAAATGAAAGGTGCCTACAAAAATATCAAATTTAAGAAATAAATTCCTTTATTGATGCTTTATAACTTTAGCTTGGTCAAATATAGTGTTTCGGGGCATAATTTGTAGGTAATCAAGATGAAAAATCATATTTTAATCTGTCGTTTCCAATAAAAAATTAAGAAAAATCGGTCATGAGTATGAGTTTTTTTTCAATATCAGAAAACGAAAATGTTTTCAGATTGTCTACGGTCTATCAGAAAATTTGAATTTGTATTTTCCAGGCCTGTCTTTAAAATAGTGTCAAATTTAATATAGGTATCGGGACTATTTTTCATGTGATTCAAATTAAATTCTTTGAAAATACTTCATTTTCTACATAATTCTTTTAGAGTGATAAAGTACGGAAAAATGAAAGTTAAAAGTGATTACGACGTCATAATGCATCTAGCACCAAAAACTTAGTTAAAAGATATTTATTAGGTCTTCACCTTAAGGCCAGTAAGAATAAACCATGACCTAAATGTTTTTTTAAACAATTATAATTGTCTAAAAGGTAAAATGAGTGTGCCGGTAACTTGCACTTGAATGTATCCTCCTCACAATGTCTTTCAGGCTCATGCGCAGCAACAACATTACAACAATAGAGGATAACGCTTTTAAAGATTTGACAAAATTGAGGAAACTGTAAGTTTGTAATTTAAAATATTTTTATAATACCAATCCACCAAACTATAATATCCAAATCATGACACCCTTACTAATGTTATCGTGGTTTAAATTCAAGACACGTGGTTTAGGTTGACCTATTCAAAGGTTATAGGATAGAACCGGTTTTATAAATAAAACTGGCAGTAAACAGGAAATTGCTATAGTCTGTTTCTTTTGAAATCATGTCCTGTGAAAAAATTGTTTCAAGACGTTTCTGAAAATGATTTTCAACAGAAAAGGGTAGCTAGAGGGGGAGGGGATTAAAATAATAATATATCATCATTATTTATTGCGAAAATTAGAGCTCACTAGCGACCGATACGCTGGTAAAAAAAAATGTGTAATATCATCTGCACTGACAATTCTTTGTTTGCCTTATATGGCTATTGTTATTAATGCGCATGGACGATCTACCAATTGCAGATATGTTTTGGAATATCAACCCGATAATGTAAAATAAACTCTATTTTTATTCAACAATTTCAGGAATTATGGTCTCCTAGATTATTTTACATTCAAATTGAGCCCTTAACCACAAGCAACTGACCAATCGTTGAATGAATAGCAACGTTTACCCCCAAGATATGTTTACATTTTACTTTTAATATATGTATCGAGAACCTCTTTCTCGTGGATTATAATTGAACCTGTATTATTTAAACACACACATGTGAATAAGTTATGGTTGTGAAGAACGGAAAACTAAGTTTTAAGCTATCATGTCTTCACAATGAAATTAACTATGAAAAAACACTCTAAGCTCATTAACATCTTGGCAATAAATATGTAAGTACAGGCACTTCACGTCCTTTCTTTCAATTTTTCTTTCAGAGATCTGGGTAAAAACGATATTACCACAATAAGTGATATGACATTTAGTGGTTTGACAAATTTACAAGACTTGTAAGTATCTGAGATTAGAAAGACTTTTAAAAAATAAGTTATAGTATATGAGGAGTGAAAAAAAATAATACACAAAAATTATATTACTCATGCATTTTTCTTTAATATTTAAAAAAGGAATACATCCCTAATGATTTAAAGCAATATGAGCTGCATGTTTAACATCGGAAAATTTTATAGCAAATTTGTAATTAACTAATTTAATGAAAGAAAAATAAAACATTTATAAACTTCTGTTGTTCAGATTTGCAATGGAAATTTTTTTATTAGCTTTGATTGAAGCAAAATTGAATTATTGTCGTCTTGTACAATAATGATTTCTTATTTAATACTGTATATTCGGTCGTACAAAAATATTTCTTTTGAAACATTTTAAAACTTTATTTTGGGCTTATTGGTCATAAGGGTTTAAATTACATACAAATTAAGTATAATAGCACATTTTCCTAGCAAAATAAAATTCTCAAAGATACAGCTCAAATTGCTTTAAGAATTAACCCAATTCATATTGTTCATGTTTATAATGCTTTTATATTTTGTTTCATCACTTTCATTGATTTCTCGTAATTTTATGCTACATTTTAACTCTACTTCTTACCTGATTTTCTACTAACTATTCTAGCACCATTTTAAAATTAATGAAACATAATACAAACAAAATTTGATACATTAATTTATATACATATACATTTCTTGGGTGATTTGGAATGGAAATAACACAAAATAAAAGAACCTCGAATATAAAGAAATCGTATTTTTTGGAGGGTTAGATATAACACTTTGTGTAGTTAAACATATACACAAGTTTGCAAATGATTTTGACATTGTGGCAAAATGTATTAAAATTCTTCTAGTGTATCTGTAAAATATCATTAATGATTTTTATCAATAAGAAAAAGACAAATTATTACTAGATTTGGGTACATACATTTTATTTCTTATTACGAGGGTTGATCCAAAAGTAATGTCACAACTTTGATAAAATTGCTATTAATTGACGTAAAGCAACAAAATTATACACGATGGAAGCTTTATTTATTTCAAATCTGTCCTGATAAAAATCAAAGGAATATCAGGTATACTTTCTAAAATATCGGATTTTAAACAATGTGCGTTTATGGTAGTCGCCGCACCTAAATATAACGTCATATGACTGATACGCACCGTCAAACTTTTAAGCGTTTCCCCATTGTTTCATTAAAAAAATATTTGTGATTCGCAAACACTTTCACCAGTTCCATTTTTTAAAAGAGTTCTTTGTACCATTATACACTCACTCGTTTCATGATTAAGCCCTCTGTCAAAATTTTTTTACAGTAGCAAAGACAAACTTTGAAATACACATATGCATGTCACTCTATACATCTGTCTTTATTGACGTCAGACACCTTTGAACGTTTCCGTCCGATCTCCTATCTTTCGGTCTTTTTGTCCTCCGCTGATCATTCGGTGGCCAATCACCCGCCCAAAATTGCTGAAGCCATCTATTAAGATGTCTCTTATTGCGATTCTTTATTCTCTAAGTCTGATAAAATAATGTTATTTCGCTTGTGATGAATCCCATATTTTGAAGCAACAAATGCATTACCGGTACAACTCGTCGAACCGGTTTTTTTTTTCCATTTCGACAGTCCTTTTGTTAAATTCAACAGAGTAAAACAACAATGTTTATGATCACAAATACCAATGTTGTCATTTAATTTTCAATTAAATACTAGAAAATGACGAGAACTGTGTCTTTACAAAAAATTGGAAGATTAAGTGCTTTTTTAGAATCTTTTTAGAGTGTTTGTCTTTTTCATTCTGAAAAATATTACACTTTAAAACGTGACGTTCCGTTGTGACGCGGCGACACCCCCTATACTCTATGTTTTAAACATCTATAAATTAAATAAAATAAACATTATTAAATTAAAATTTCAAGGTTGATTTGATTTATATCTGTGCATCTTTTGGTATGTTCTTTTTGATAATATGACGCCAAATATAACAGATATGGACACTGTGACATTACTTTTGGATCAACCCTCATATTTAGGATAATGTAAATAAATTTTTGCTTCACTTTGGGACAGTCTAACTTGCCCACTCACCCTCTTCTTCAATATTTTTTTCTGTATAATCATGCATACAACAAATATTTGAAATATTTTACACTTTACTTATGGCGCATTGTCCATCTGCCATCAAAAAATCTTTTAAAGATATGTCTTGCATTTATACATATGCTATTTTTTTTAATTGAAAAAGTTTGAAAATATTACACTCCAACTATTTTTGCAGTCGCATTGAAATACTATGCATATAATTTTTTGTTGTCCTGTATCATCAAGCTATTTACGTTGATATGGAAGTTTCCTGCTTACATCAATTCCCCATTTTCAAAAGTGAGTTATCTCCCCTCAAAATCGGAACTCTTCTACACTAGCATAACTTCCGCGGACTACGCATTACAATAATCCAACAAAATAGTGATCAACTTACACGCTGCATTTAAAAATTTTAAAAGAAAGAAACGGTTTGCAATTTTTTTTAGATAATAAGCGATTGTATAAAGGGTCTGTTACCCACCCACCCCCTTTCTAGACAGCTATACGAATTAGCCAGGCACGTAGCATCGTCTTTAAAAGGGGGGGGTGGCAGCCAAAGAAATATTTTTTTCTTACCTAGAAAAGTAGACAAGCAAAGAAAAACCTTGCCCAAAGTCGAAAAAGCTACTTATTTCAGTACCAGTTCCTTGGCATACAATACTTATTTCCCCTTATATAACTTTACCGTAGTATAAACTGTGTGTGTGGCAAGGGGGGGTGGCAACATGTCTTTTAACGAACATTTTCAATAGAAAAAGTAATATTGGGGAAAAAGTGGGGGTGGGGCTAGGCCCCTTGACCCCCCCCCACCCCCCACCCCCACCCCCCCGTTGCTACTTGCCTGTTAGCTGGCAAACAACTTCATCAGAAATTTGCAATTTTAATGTACGTTATTGTAATTTTTTCTTAAAATCTTACATGTATAATCTACAGGATACATCTTATTTATGTTTTTAAAAAGATAATTTACAAAGTACACGTAAGTTTTTAATAAGCGGTGTGGTGAAACCGGGAAGATGAATTTCGCTGGATGTCAGTTGAGTGTGTTACACACTTGAACTCAGAACTGACCATTAGAATGTTTCAAATCAACTTTCATGCGAATTTGATTGACACTGAGGTGACGCACGAGGGTTTTGAGCGTACAGGTACAGAGAACGAATTTGTAAATGGATTGGACAGTTGAATATGAACCAAAGTTGTGGAAATTAAAAATTATTAGAATAAAACTAAAAATTCTTATATTTGATCTGCACATTTTGTAAATAATGATGATCCGTATGCAGAACATCCACTACCGAAAATTAGCTTTTGTTTTGTATTTTTTTTTAAAATAGGCCTATTCGAATATGTATCAGCATTTTATCAGTAATTTGTTTCGTTTTTTTTTGTAAGGGGGGGGGGGGGGGCTTACACAGTGCCTTATTATAATTCTATACAGATTAATACAAATCCAGAAAGAGACAATGAGTGGGCAATTTAAAAAAATACGAATCAGTTAAGATTTCTTTTTATTCACAAACACAATAACATTTTTCCATATGACAGAGGCATTACACCATGAACATGTTTACATCAAGAACGTCCGCGGAAGTGACTTTATTTATAGCGCATGCGTATTAAACACAGTAAAAGAGTTCCTTTCAGGGGAAATAACTCACCTTTTGAAAATGGGGAATATTTTTCAATTCAGTATTTTTCTTAATTCGATTTATTTTTATCAACTGAATCCATCATACATAAAAGATGCTTTTAATTACATTTATGGGAGAATACCATGATACAATACAAAACAAAATGAAAATAAGCAGTCAAACCAGATTGATATATGTTAATCAGACAATAAGTATGGACTTAGAAATAAGGTGAGGCTGTATATATTGAGATTAAATATACTGAGTACCTCTGGTAGCATTGTGAGGGTAGTAAAATTATTCACCTGATTTACATGCACTTTACATTTACTCTTATTTTATAGGTATCTATACGACAACAGCATTCAGACAATAGAGGTCAATGCTTTCAGGGATTTGACAAATTTGTGGAATTTGTGAGTTTATTATATTATATATATTTTGGATTACATGTATGTCAATTGTACAAAATTCAATATCACATCTATGGATTCATTCACGAAGTAAAAAAAATTATAGAGACTATAAGTTCGTTAATTGAAATATATTTTGGAAAAATCAAACCTACTAAATGTAATTGATTCAATCACGAATTAAGGTAGGTCGCGGGTTTACTGAATAAAAATTCCTACGAGAAAACATATTTTGAAAATTCGATATACTAGTAGTGTTCCTAAGATTTAGTCCTATTTTTACGCTTTACTATTGAATTATATAGAAAAATGACTTTTCAAGCTAATTTTGCGAAAAGAGTTTCTATAAAAAAAGCTTGGATAACTTTAAAAAGACCTAGACAAATTAGTCGATGATTTAAAAAAGTCAAGATGTGGTAAGACTTAAACTATTGAGATAAAAAAAAAACAATTTGTCTTATCGCTAGTTTCTTTTTCAAAAAAATTTCAGTTTGTTTTACCATTGCCAAAATTGTGCATTTATGAATGACTAGAACGTCATAAATTGAACGTAATCTCGTTAACATTATACAGCGACAACGCCGCGAATGATAAATATTAAATTTTATGATGTTAATGTTTAATAAGATTTCAAGCATAACACATGAGTTTGACCACTTCATATATCTGAAAAAAGGGGGGGGGTCTATATAAGTGGCGCCAACTCTCGAACATTTGTTACTTTCTTTAGTAAAAATTCCATAAGCAAAATGTAAAACACTTGTACTTAGCTCTATACACAGATTGCTTTTGTTATATAAGGGAAAATGAACTTGTTACTCGTAAATTACATGTATCTGTTTACAGTGCCATAAGGTCTGGTAGTCCGGGTGTCTGTACATGTATACATTTTTAAAAATGATTTCACAATATGATAGCCTGCTTATACATATAGCACCACATGAGATTCAAATACAAAATAAACAAAAAAAAAATAATAATTATGAGAAAAAGAAAAAAGAAAAAATAATAATAGAAAAAAAAACGTACTTAAATTTCACCCGTTTTAAGTAATGAGGATTGATCCAATCCTGTAAGTATTTTATATAAAATAATATTTTCGTCGCGGATTTGATTGGCCAATAAAGTTTAATATGCACGTTTCCTTTGGGTTGCAAATTATATGCGCACATAAGAACCTTCAAAATTTTGGCTTAGCAATCAACGAAAACTTTCTTCTTGCATACTGTAACTTTTTCTTTTTGCATACCATAACTTTTACGTCAATTCATTTGAATTGACTTTAAACAGTTAAGTAACACTTACTATATAAATTATTCCTTTTATTTGGTACGTTTTTTTTTGTTCTAAGACATTGCACAAAAAAATCACAACGGAAGCATAAAGGCTTTCAGTTTGTATCAATCTTTTAAAGAAAAAAAAATACCAGTAACTCTGCAATGTCTTTCGACAAAATTGCACTAGGTCTATAGTTTCAACTAGATGCTCGGTTCCGTAAGCCCTGACGAGCTCTCATGTGACGTCACAGTCTAGATGTCTCGTGCGACTTGGCGTTTGAAGTGGCGGATCAACGTTCCAGGTGTATATAGGAAGGTTCAACTGCGCTCGCCCCAACGGTCACATCGTAAAACATAATTACCCTAGTTTAGTTCAAACATGCGCACGATGTTTACGTTAAATAGCATTTACTATGAATTAATCCACTTGTTTCGTACAGACTATGTATAAAATTATATTCAGAGAATTAAATCAAAATTTAATTAAAATTAAAAGTGCACAAAACAACCGCTCGAATCATTGTAATTGTGTACTTTAAAAGTATTGCTTTCTTCATAAGGAATGAAGAAACTTTCATTCTGCGTAAAAAAAATTCAATAATTTTTCGCATTTTTTTTTTTTTTGCAGATTATTGTACCGAAACAACATAACTGCAATCAAAAACAACACATTCATTGGTTTGATGAACTTAAAGAAGTTGTAAGTTTTTTTCCCTAAGAATTTCTGACAACAATATTAATTTTGAAAGTTTTAATCCACCAAAAAAAATGGTATGCTGTTCTCTGATTCAACAATTTTAAGTACAATAGCACCATGTCTCTTATAAGACATTTTAAGATTTTTTTTTACATACTCTAAAATCACATATTTTCGAAAAGTCAAGTTTTCGTGGTTTGAATAAAAACTCTTGGTTTGTGTGGATTTGAATTTGTGGATGAAACAATTGTTGAGTAGTTATATAGGCAACATTTTACATTTCATGGTGGACATGAATTCGTGGGTTTCTTCATTACTCAAAAACAACGAAAATTTAACCCCATGAAAATTTGTGATTTCACAGTACATATTAGCATTATTCTTTAACAACAAACAGTAGGTTCAAAATTACTCACTTAATGTGTAAAGCGTAATTCAGGTTGACGGAAAAATAAGTCGAGTTTGTATATTATAAGATTTGTGATGACATTGTGAGACTGGAAACAATTATTCACGTGATCCATTTTTTTTCTTTAAATAATTATGATTTTCTAGGACTGTGAGGTAAAACTATTAAGAATCATGACATACAGTAGCACTTGAATTTCACTCTGAACAATTTTCCCCAGGTATCTAGCCCGCAGCAGCATAACCACAATCGAGGCTGGCGCGTTCACTGATCTGTCAAAATTAGAGGAACTGTAAGTTTTTGGATAGAAGTTGAGGTTGCATAAAATCAGATTAAATCTAGCGAGGGTGGCCCTTGAGTTAAGGATAAGTTATAGTCTTTTTATTTGAATGTAGCTTTTCAAGATCGCACATACGTTAGTTATGTTTCCATGTCCTCGATGCTTTTCATTATTATAATTTTCTTAAAGAATTAGGTAAATTTATTATGATTTTTCTAGGATGACCTAAGTAAGAACTTGAAATTCCTTCTTCATAATGTCTTTCAGGGATCTTTCCAGCAACACCATAACCACAATAGAGGATAAAGCGTTCAATGATCTTACAAAATTAAAGAAATTGTAAGTTCTTTACTTAAAAATATGTTTGAAATGTCAATCCTCATAAACATACTTCCTTCAATAACAATACCTTGATTCATTCAACACTCAATAAGGGAGATTGTAATTTCAATTTTTAAATTGTTTTGGATAATATCAATTCTTTAAATTAAATTATCCCATGAATTGATATTTTCAATGATTTAAAAAATGCAACCATTTTTTATATGCAAGTTTGTTTTTTTTTCAAAAATATCTTTGGAATATCAATCCTCTAAAAGGTTATATCCCATGTATTGATTTGACAAATTAATAGAGACTGTTATTTTTAAAATAATGGGATATTAATCCTCGGAACTGTAGTATCCAATGCATTCATTCTGCATTGACGTTTTGCAATTTATAAAGAGTAGACTGTCACAAGCCAGTTTATACTCGTGTAAATTACATCTATTGGCATTGTAAAGCTTGTAGGAATTGTTCATTTGAAAACTTTTCACTGTATTTTTTATTAGGTAATGAAAACTTTCAATTGCTTAAAAAAGAGGATTCTTTCAGTCATATTCTTAAGAACAGCACATTTGTTGGTTTGTCAAACTTAACGACATTGTAAGTTTTTTTTAAATAGTTCTTAACTACAGATATTTTTAGAGTATCATTATATCAAAGTATCAATACTGTATACGTATTAATTCAACAATTTCATCAACAATTGCATTGTCTTGGGGATTTTTTTTTTACATGAATGTGGGTCCGAACCTTCCTAACCTTAATAGTTAGTGGAGCGAGAATAACAACAAACGTTCAACAAATTATAAAATTGCCTTGATTTAAGAGATATATTGCAGACAAATATTCAATAAACAATTCTTAATTGAATGAACAAACTCTGTCCTGGCATCGGGTTGATAATGCAACATATATCATGTGACGTCAGAGTCTAAACGCACCAAATGTCACCTGCAGTTCGACGAGTCCGATCTAAATCTAAAAAAAAAACAAAAAAACTGAATATGTATCTGCGCTCACCCTAACAGTCGCACTATCAACATAATATAAAACAGTATGGTAGAAGTAACTTACCTGATTTTATTTGATGTTTTGTATAGCATAATGAATTATTTAAGGATTCAAATAATACATTAATGTGGGATTCATACTGACAGAGAAATAAGTTGAGGTTGTAAAATTCAAATTTAATAAAGCAGGGATGACCCTTGAGAGCCTAGTCATGTTATTCACATCCTCGATGCTTTTTATAACTATAATTTTCTTAAAGAATGAGGTAAAGTTATTAAGATTTTTTAGATTGACATAAGCAATAACTTGTCATTCCCTCTTCACTATGTATTTCAGGGATCTTTCCAGCAACACCATAAGCACAATAGCGGACAATGCGTTCAATGACCTAACAAAATTAGAGACATTGTGAGTTCTTAACTTAAACATATGTTTGAAATGTCTTCCTTATAACCTTTATTTATCCAATGCATTTATTCATCCAATGAATTGACAAAATTAGAGAGATTTTAAGATCTTTAAATTTTTTTGATATATTGATCCACCAAACTGTGTAATCCGAAGTATTCAAATTTTGATTCTTTCCATGATTTGTAAAAAAAAAAAGAAGATGTAAGTTTGTTATTTATAAATATTTTAGGATATCAAATGAATAGTCTAAACTGTAATGCCTTATGCATTAATTCTTCATCGGAGTTCCGCAGTATAAAAAGCCTAAACGGCCCCTCCCCCCGGTGAACTCAGTTTATACCGTGTTAATTCTATGTACTGGTATGGTTTTACTTGTAGCAATTATTCAATTTATAATTGACTCTTTTAATGCATTTTTCATTAGAAATGAAAAATAATTTTGCGTGAAATAAATCTATGTGTGTCTTTTTTTCTACAATTTTTCCCAGATTGTTGGACAACAACAAAATAACCAGTATTACGAAAGGCGCATTTGTTGGTTTAACAAACCTAAAGGACTTGTAAGTTTTTTCTGATATTTTATTGCTACAGACATTTTCTGGGGAATATAAGTTCAACAAATTATAAAATATTGTGTTTTGATTCAAAAATTTCAAGAAATATAGAATCGTCATTTTGTTGATTAATGTTGACTCGAACCTTACTAACGGACAGCGTGATAGGAGTAACGTACTTGATTTATGAACAAAATATGGGACAAATATGTATATTGAATTATTTAAGGATTCAAATGATAAGTTAGTGTTGGATGCATAATTACGAATGAGGCAAAAATAAGATGAGATAGTATATTATAAGTTTAACATAACTGTGGTGGTTTTGTGAGGCTATTAAGAATTATCACGTAATATATGCTTTTTTTGCCCCTAGATCGAAAGATCCCGAAGGTATATTATTTTTGTCCTGTCTGTCTTTTTTTATTCTGTCTGTTTTCAACTTTAACCCAATCCATAACTATTGAGTAGGCGGGGCTATGACGTTCATATTTCACAGTTATATTTCTTGTGAAATGAACTTTCTTTAGGTACCACCAAATTTGACTTCTTGACCTTTGAGTATAACCTACTTTTAACAAATATATACCACACTTTAAATTTGGCCATAACATTTTGAGCAGTAAGAGCCAAATCCTTCAGCTGGAATACTTTTGACCATTTCACCTTGACCCACCTTTTATAAACTTTAACCTTGGTCATAACATTTGAACATTGTCAATAAGAACTAGGGCTTTAATATATCATAGGTGTATTCAAAAACTTATCTTTGGATATCAACATTTTTTGCTTTTCACATTGAACTTTGACGTTTGACATGCTTTCTGGAGAATTAAAACCTTGCAGGAAGCTGCCAAAAGGGTATCATTAATGTTCACAAACAAATATGTTTATAATGGTAATTTTCTAAAGAGATAGTGTAAAATTAAAATACCCACACTTTCTAAAGAAAGTTCGGGTATATTGTTGTTACTCGTGTCCGTCCGTCCGTCTGTCGCACTTTTTCCCTGAACTCCTCCTACACTTTACTCAGTAGGCTAATCATCTTTTGGGAGATGGTTGGTGGTGCTATTAAGATGTGCAGTAAGGTTTCGGAATGTTTGATTTTGCCCCGGGGTCAAATGGGAGTGTGAATTTAAAGGCCTTAGTGTGGGTATTACAGTCTCATGACAGCATCCATTTATGATTGTTTGAGGGCGTGGTATATTTCTACCTAATTGATATTTACTCTTTACATTTTTTCAGGATGGTTCTCAACAACAGCATTACGACAATAGAGGCTGGCGCATTCAATGATTTGAATAAATTAGAGATACTGTAAGTTAATTATTCAAAGAATTTGAATGTCTATCCTCATAACAATAATCTGAACAATGCATTAATTCATTTAATGAGAGAGACTGAAAGCTCGTTATTTTAAATATATATTGGCATTGGGAAGCTTGTAGGAATCATTCACGTGATAATTGACATAGAACCGAATCTTCTTTTTAAAGAATGATGAAATATTTATTTTGCAATGACGCAAACTCACTCTCTACATCTACTCTTTACATATTTTTTCCCAGAGATTTGAATGAGAACAAGTCTTTTTTTCTACATTTTTCCCCAGATTTTTGGACAACAACAAAATAACCAGTATTAGGAAAGGCGCATTTGTTGGTTTGACAAACGCTAAGGACTTGTAAGTTTTTTCTGATGTTTTATAGCTACCATTGACGTTTGACATGCATTTGGGGGAAATCAGCCCTCGTAGTAAGCGAGTTTTTGAGGGTGTGATATATATGTACTTAATTGATATTAACTCTTTACAATTTTTTTCAGGATAGTTAACAAAAACAGCATTACGACAATAGAGGCTGGCGCATTCAATAATATGACTAAATTAGAGCAACTGTACGTTGTTTATTTAAAAAAAATTGGCATTTCTATCCTCATAACAATAATTTGAACAATGCATATCTTCATTTAACGATTAAAAAAAAGTCTTGTCCTTGACTCTCACTCTTTACAATTTTTTCCCAGATATTTGAATGAGAACGAGATTACAACGATACAGGACAACGCATTTGTTGGTTTGACAGGCTTAAAAGAACTGTACGTTTTTTTCTAATAGTTCCTTACTACAGATATTTCTGGAATATCAGTCTAATTTTGATGTACTGTGCTTCGATTCAATAATTTCAAGAACGATAACATCTTCTTTTTGATTTTTGTACATCAATGTTAGCCGGTAATTAAATCGCAAACAGCTTGATAGAAGTAACCCATTTGATAAATTTGATGTACATTGTAATATCTAAGATAGGTTGCGGATTTACTGCGTAAAAAATATAAAGCATGTTCTTAAAATTTGACTTCATGTTCCTGAGTATTTACAGCAAAGCAAGATAAACATAAAAAGATTGGGATGAAAAAAAAATCAAAATATCCTTTTTGAGTTTTCTTGCTACATGTGTATAATTTCAAAGTTTGCTTTTATATTGTCAAACGTTCAAGGCGTTTTTAATGAGTACATCGTCATGTACAATGTCATCGGGTTTACATGTATATATTCATGTTTGAAATATGCAGGATGAAAAGCTGACATAGGCTCACTCTGTAATATTATTAATCACTTATATATTGCAGAATTGTGCTTGTATGTTTGCTGTATGTTGTTAAACGTCCCTTTCGATATTTTTGCTCTCATTTGGAGTCGATGTCACTTGCCATCGACGCTTATAATGTCCTATACTCGGCACTTACAGCGATTGAGCATTGAGGGATCTTTTTACTGTTCGTATTTACTGTGTTACCGGACCTCGGTTTATACGGTATCATTCTAAGAATCAGTCTCCACGTCACACAGTGAGATTCGAACCTGCAACGTAACGATTACCACCTTGCGAATATTTGATACCAATTATTTTACATGTAGTCTCTAGGAAAACGATAAAATAAAGTGTGCTTAAGAGGGCTGGGGGCTCGCGGCCATTTTTAGACTTTATTGATCTCTTTTAGAAGAAGAGCTCTATACAAATATGGTCAGATTTTAAAACTAAAATTTGAATTTTTTTTCCTTTGCCAAATGATTGTTGAAAACTTAACTTCAAAAAAATGATTTACATGAATATAGGTATTAGGATCCTTTTCACAATACATGTAATTCAAAACTGAATGATGATCATACTTTATCTCTAGAGTCATGTGATTTAGTTATAGTTGTGAAGAACGTGGAAATCAGTTTAAAGACAGATCATACAAACAAATACATTGATTCCTCTAATGATTTGGCAGAATGAGAGAGACTGTTAGCTCATTATTAAAAATATTTTTTGATATCAATCATCTAAAGTAAAATATTCTATTTTTGAATCATTCTATGACGCTCCGCAGTTTTAACTTTCCCATCCTTGTTTATACAGAATAATCCCATATATTGGCATTGGAAAGCTAGTAGCTAGGAATTATTCACGTGATAATTGACAAAGAACCGTATTCTCTTTTTAAAGAATGAAAAAAAAATAATTTTTGAGGGACAAAAAATCTATTTAGACATTTACTCTGTACACATTTTTTTTTCAGACATTTGAATGAGAACAAGATTACAGCAATACAGGACAACACATTTGCTGGTTTGACAGGCTTAATGGGGTTGTAAGTTTTTTTCTAATAGTTCCTTACTACAGATATTTACCAATCCAATGTTGATGTACTGTATTTCTATTCAATAATTTTAATAACGATAGCATCTTCTTTTGGATTTTTGTATATCACTGTTGCCCTGAAATCAAATTGCAAACAGCTTAATACAAGTAACCCATTTGATAAATTTGAAATACCGTATATACTCGCCTATAAGTCGGTTTTTTGGGAGTTAATCTCTGGTCTAAAACTCTTTGTCCGACTTAAAGGCGAGCAAATAAAAGTATGGTTTAATATGAGGTCAGCCCATCTCATATACAAGCTTATTAAATACGACCGACTTATATGCAGACCGACTTATAGGCGAGTATATAAGGTAGGTAACGAGGATGAACATTAAAATATTTAAGATGGAGTGCGTATTTTCTGCTTTAATACAGTATAATCTCAAATATTGGCATTGTGGAGCTTCTAAGAATTATTCACATGATAATTATCAAAGAAACGTATTTTCTTTTTAAAGAATTAAAAAATATTTATTTTGCTGAAACAAAAACTCGCTCTCTACATTTACTCTTTACACATTTTTTTTTCAGATATTTGAATGGTAACAAGATTACAGCAATACAGAACAATACACTTGCTGGTTTGACAGGCTTGAGGACATTGTAAGTTCTTTCTAAAAGTTTCTAACTACAGTTGTATTTGAAGCACCAAAGTATGATATAGATATACTGTGTTTCGATTCAATAATTTCAATAACGATAACATCTTCTTGTGGATTTTTACTCCTCATTGTTGGCCCGAACTTTAATGACAAACAGCTTGATAGAAGTTTGATTTATTTGAAATAGGTGACGAGTATGCACATTTAAATATTGAAGATAGGTTGTGGTTTAAGAACCCTCTCTACACTGCACACTAAAGAGTTCTGATTCTTATGTATTTTTCTGCAGTTAGAGTGATCTGCCCTTAGATCTAAATTTAAAAAAAAAATTTACAGTACAATACTCAATTTGTAATTAATTCAGCAAATCTTAACATTTTAAAAGGCCAAGAGAAATTAACTGAACATGTTATTTACATGTACTTTCTTAATTGAAGTAATTAACATTGATTTCTAGTCACTGATACTGGGTTGTCTTTGAGCTTTTTTCCCGGAGGCAAATGCCACGCATCATATAGTGAAAATTAGATAAATACGCAAAATATTAACTCCTTTATACAATATATTTTTCTCAATGTCCAAAAAGAATATTTACACTTGTGTAGAGAGGGTCCTTAACTGCATAGAAAATCTGAAGCATATTATGAAAATTTGACTTCATGTTCCTTAGTATTTACAGCATATCATAATTTTTGTCAAGTTTGCATACGTTGTATTAATGTTATGTTACCGTAAACGCAGCATAGCTTTGGGTATAACTTTCAACCGGTGTTTGCTTGCCACATTTTGGTTTTTGTATATACTAGCTTGAAATATATCAAGTCTTAATAAACAACAATTTCAACATATACATGTGTTTTAAGTTATAGTATTCTAGGTTACTGTTCATTTAATTTTTGCTGGAAAGAGGAAGCATAAATATCATTTATGACAGTAAATAATTTTATTGACGAATGATTTAATATAGCAAGTTGTGTTCATTTTGTGTTATGTTCAACATATATATTGTTTATGTAGTAAATTAGCTGTAACTGTAAACCTTATAAGAGCCTATGCAATTTTTCCCCACTGGGAGCCTCAGGTTCAATGCTGCAATCTGATTGGTCGAGAGTTAGCGTCGCTTTATACAGTTTGTAAGACAGTAGACATTTTTGTGAGGAGGCTGAGAAAAATTTTTAAACCCTCCCACCTCTCCCATTTTTATACAAAAGAAATTGAGCCATGAGCCTTTGGACCTCACCTTCTGCCACTTACAATGATTTTTCTAGTCATGTATGTTTGCATACAAGTATTTTGGAATATTGTAATTTTGATGTATTATACCACTTATTGTGTTTGCAATGGTTATAGTTACAAAACTTCTAATATACAGGTTTTAAGTCTAGACTTGTACATTTTGCTAATGCCTGTAAATTGTAATTGCTCAACCGGTGTTTGCTTGCCACATTTTGGTTTTTGTATATACTAGCTTGAAATATATCAAGTCTTAATAAACAACAATTTCAACATATACATGTGTTTTAAGTTATAGTATTCTAGGTTACTGTTCATTTAATTTTTGCTGGAAAGAGGAAGCATAAAACTCCTTTATACAATATATTTTTCTCAATGTCCAAAAAGAATATTTACACTTGTGTAGAGAGGGTTTAACGGCATAAAAATTCTAAGGCATATTCTGAAAATTTGACTTCATGTTCGTTAGTATTTACAGCATATCATATGTACTGTAATTTTGTCAAGTTTGCATACGTTGTATTAATGTTATGTTACTGTGTAAACGCAGCATAGTTTTGGGTATAACTTTTACGCTTTACTTTTGAAATAAATGGGTAAATAGCGCTTTAAAACCAATTTCACCGAAAGAGTCTCTTTAAAAAAAAGTTTTCACAATACATGTTATTCAAATTGGACGTTTATCATACTTTATTTCTACATTCATGTAAATAAATTATAGCGGTGAAGAACGGGGAAATAAGTTTAAGGACAATTTTTTCTTCGGAGGAGACCTTAATATCAGTTCACAGGTTTAGAAAGTGGATGTTTCTTGGAATTTTCTCTCCTTGGAAAATGAAATAGACTTGGCAAATATTAGTTAATACTTCGATAAAATAACTATTATACACTCAACCAATCATCAACAAAATAACAAATATGGATAAACTACACTCAGTAAAGGTTTACAGATGAAAACAGATTTCAGGGATTATTATGTTAGCTTGGTGCTAAAAATTAAATATAAAATTAAGAAAAATATACCAAGCCAGGTAAATTTTATGAAGAAAAACAAAATGAAAAGTTTTCTAAAGTTTATATTACACATTAAACACCAAGCTAACATATTCTAAAATTTGTTTTTCATCTGTAAACGTCTACTGAGTGCGATTTGTCCATATTTGTAATTTATTTAAGGAATGTTTTTTTACGTTGTGTGTGAATTATTGGTGTCTGAACCACACAGACTTATCACGTAGGCATATTGGCGCGCTTCATGAGAAATATGCTTTCTTGCATGTCTCTGTGATTCACACACAAATAATTCACACAAAACTTTAGAAAAAAATCTTATATATACATTTTACACCTAAATATACTCAATATTTGAGTTTTTCTCTGGCCTATATCGTTGCATTTTTACTAACATTGTTGTTGCCTCATTGTGACGTCACGTTAGCGCTAGTTTCTCTGTGTATATTTCTTTGTGCGAGTATACACAAAAATGAAATTCAAATCAATTTCACTGTTGGCTTAGTTGAAAAGCACAGCGAATATAAATATTAATGTATAGGCTAATATTTTCCAAGTCTATTTCATTTTCCAAGTTCCAAGAAGAAATTATAAGAATTATAAAAAAAATGTTTGTATCATCATAATCATCTGTCTTTAAACGTCCATTCTTTAATTTTTATTTCAGGTATCTGAACAACAACAATATAGTACAATTGGAAGCAACACTGTAAATAGTTGGACATCTTTATATAAATTGTAAGTAATTGAGAATAGAATAACGCATAAAAATATTTTAAAGAATACGAGGAAACACTTTATAATGTAGGGAAAAAATCTCATCATTTACTTGATCATTTTTTAGAATATATCCTTGATAATTTAAGAATAAATGCATTTCCTACTGTTAACGTTAATACGTGCTTTCTTATTTCATTACTTTTCTTTAATCTTGTATGATATTATTTACATAAAAATTTTAAGTAACAAGTTTGTTGAACTATGATCCTTTAGAAAATTAAAAGAGCATTTAAATAGCTTTTGATAGCTATGTGTTTATCATGATCAGTGTTAATAAATTGATTTGATGAAAAACAACAAAATAAAGAAACAATCATTATACTTTTATCTTAAAGCTCATTTGAGAATTGAGAGACATGAAATGTCATGTTTTTAATTTTTAAAGAAAAAAAATTATGAAAAAAATATATACCTGTACGAGGGCTGTTCAATAGATAAAGTACCCGGTGCTCGAAAAGAAGCAAAAGACGCTTTAAACTGATTTAGTCTTCATGGTTTAACTTCTTAATCTCTTTTAATTAAAACAAATGTCTGTAACATTTTTATCCAATTTCTGATTGTCTTAGAACTCATTTTTGGGCATGCCCCTTAGTATACTGGGAAATGCCAGATCCAATTATTTCCTGGACTTGTTTCTTACCTCTGAAAAGTGTTGTTTTTTAATTTTGGAAATAGAAACAAGTCAAAAGGTCAAAGATATGGCGAATATTGTTAACGTGAAAAAATATTAACTTTCTGTTTCTGATTTTCCCGAAAACCTCTTTACTCTTCAGGGCGTGTGGGTTGTGGCTGTCATGAGGAAATTAAATGTAGTGGATTCCTGATTCTGGATCCTTCCTCTAAAATTTTTTTCTTTTTTTTTGCCAAAAATTTGCTTTCTAGACTCCTCCAAAAAATGTCTCCCTGAATTCGAGTTTGAACATCCATACCACTAATTGAATATCAATCTGTCTTTGTGCTCTTGCAATTCTTTGTTCTTGTCAGACCTTCGCTTTTTTAGGTCACCTGAGTTACTCAGGTGACCTATTGCTATCCGTTTTAGTCCGTTGTCGTGCGTCGTGTGTTGTGTGTCGTGCGGCGTGTGTTAACATTTGAACATTTTCAGCTTCTTTTCTGAAACCGCTGTACCAATTTCAACCAATTTTGGAACAAAGCATTTATGGGTAATGGGGAACACAAATCATGAATTTCATGGTCCCCGCCCCCCTGGGGCCTGAGGGGTGGGGCCAAACCACAAAAATTAGTGCAATCTTTAAAAATTTTCTTCTATACTACTGGACATCAAGCAGGCAAACTGTTGGCATGAATATAATGAGCATTGAGTCCTCTACAAAAATTGTGAAATTCATGGCCCGAAGGTCAGGGGTTCTAGTGCTAGGGTAGGGCTCTATTGATCATATAGTGAAAATGTATGATTTCTTTGAAAATCTTTTTTCTCTGCTCCTAGGTATTAAATAAACTAACCAAGCACATAGTTATGAGTGCCTCTTCCAAAAGTTTGAATTTTATGACCCCAGGGTCAGAGGTTCTGGTGTTAGGGTGGGGCTCGACTGGTTATATAGTGAAAATGCATTTATTCTTTGAAAATATTCTTCTCTACTTCTATATTAAATAAACTAACTAAGTACATAGTTATAATGAGCACCTCTTTCAAAATTGTGAATTTTTTGGCCCCAGGTTTAGGTGTTCTGGTGTTAGGTTGGGGCCCTATTGAATATATGGTGAAAATGCATTAATTCTTTGAAAATCTTTTCTGCTCCTGGGTATAAAATAAACTAGTCAAGCACATAGTTATGTTGATGAAGAGTGCCTCTTCCAAAGTTTTGAATTTTATGGCCCCAGGGTCAGGGTTCTGGTGTTAGGGTGGGGCTGTATTGATCATATAGTGAAAATGCGCTAATTCTTTAAAAATCTCTGCTCCTGAGTATTAAATAAACTTAGTACATACTTATTATGAGTAAGAGTGCCTCTTCCCAAATTGTGAATTTTATGGCCCAAGGGTCATGGGTTCTGGTGTTAGGACGGGGCTCTTCTGATTATGTAGTGAAAATACATTAATTCTTTGAAAATCTTTCCTTTGCTCCTGGGTATTTTGCCCATGATCCAAGTATATATATTTATAATGAAGAAAGGTGCATCTAGCAAAACGGTTATTTTTTATGCCCCCTCCCTGGGTTGAGGTGAATGGGGGGGGGCTACAAAGTCTGAAAATAAATTAATGCTTTGAAATCTGCTCTTTGGTATTAATCAACAATTTTATGATAAAATTTGCAAAATTTTGAAATATATGGCCCCAGGATAAATGGTTCCTTTGGGATGAGGTACACAACTGGTTATAAAGTGGAAGTGCATTTTCTATTAATGTTACTCTGATCTACTTATGGGTATTAAGTAAACAGAGTAAGCATGCTAAATCTATAATTATGATAAACAATGGTGCCTCTTTCAAAATTGTGAATTGCGAATTTCATGGCCTCTGGTTTAAACAAATTTAATTGTTTGAAAGTTGTTGCGCTTTTGGAGTTTAAAAAGAGAAATAACAAATTTTCCATCTGTACTCAGGTGACCTATAAGGCCCGTGGGCCTCTTGTTATCAAATACATCCTATGATAAATTTTATTTTGAGGATTTTAAGCAATAGATTCAAGTTCCATTATCTGTTTTGAATATCAAGCAAACATGGATACATGTAACTATAATTACTGATATTTTAAAATAATTGTTAAGATCAATCAATCTTATATGCTGTCGTTTTCACTCATTTTTCAAAATATAGGGTGACCTTTGAGTATTGAGTTTTTACTGTCAAACTTTTCATAAAAACAGTGTAAACTACTCCCAAAATGATGTCTATCAAATTTGCTATGTGTCTTAAAGTCAATTATACATCAAATATTATTTGTTGAAATTTGGCAAACAGTACATAAGTTGTCATAATATTTGTTGGCAAGGACGGTACATGTAACCATTTTTGATGCCCATTATATATTTTTTTGTCATTGAAATCCACCTGGTCAATTGTCAATAAAACAGGCATTGGTTGCTGTAAATGTTACATATTCCAGTGAATATTTCTTTGGGATTTTTTTTACAAGTTTTACAGCAGCTTTAATGAAGCTTTTATTTTCACTTTAGTTTACTGATTCTTTACCATACATTATAATGCAGTGTCTTGAATAACCCTTGTTTTTCATCTTCTCATTTTGAAACTATGTGATGAACAGTGGTCACATAAACTGTTTTAAATTCATTAAAGATTCAATAATGAGAGAAAGTCAAATCTTAATGCCATATGATATCTGTTTTTTATGTCATACAGTTCAGGACATTATCTATTGAACAGCCCTCGTATATCGCACTTTTGGGTCTTACATTTATGACAATTTCAATTAATTTGTTTGTGGAAAGTTTTATATAAAAAAAAGAAATTGTATTTTTGAATTCCGATACATATTTTCATTATTTTTATCAAGGCGAATACATGATAACCCTTTACATTGCGATTGCGAGTTGCTGAGCCTAGTCGATTTCATCAAATCTGGACGTATCGTTGTTGTCGTAAACTTTTCACATTTTCATCTTCTTCTCAAAACTTTCAACCAAACACATTTGTTCATTTCTCGAAGAACAGAAAACACAATGCTCTACTCCTGCAAAATTAACTGGAACTCAACTGGCCAGTCTGTCAGCTTCAGCCCTGGGATGTCCCGAAAAGGAAACCAATAGTTCACCTTTAGGAGGAGGAAACATATTAGTTGTTACACTCTTGTCTTTATGTTTGCTTGTTAAAACCATCGTTGAGTTTTAGAAATACAATAACTCTTTTTTTGTATTGTCACATTAGGTAAGATGTAAAAATGTCTTGAAATTGACTCTACACTTAATTGTAAAAAGTTTTTTTTGTTTTACCTTTAGAAATTGCATCCTATACATAATTCTATACTAAAAAGGTCTAACATTCCAATGTTTTACTGAGCGGTTATAACAAAATTCTATGTTTGATCGCAGACTGAGATGTTAGATCTATCGATGAGATGTTGGACCTCTTACGTCACAGACAGGGCGGAGTCAGAGCTCTATATTTTGTTGAAGTTCGACAGAACTGAAGTGCGGGTTCACTATATTTACATTATAATCTGTCAAAAGTAAAAGGTAAAACGAAACATTTATTGACTGTGTTATCGAGCAAGATGCGTTTTGTCGACTTTTTAATCAAACTGTTTGGTCCGACAAAACGCAGGTTGCTCTTGACCACAGTCAATAAATGTATAATATTAAGTATATCGATAATTTTTGGAAACAACATACTAAGTGATATAGCAAATGTAGCTTTTAGATTTTTACATTCCCTTGATTACTTAATATCTAAAACATATATTAACCAATATAGTCCTTCATACAGCAAATTCATTTATTTATCCTTCTTTGTAAAAATAATCCATAATTCGAGATGATTTAGGGCTTGAGTAACTTATAGATTAATTCAAAGCTTGTGTCCATATATAAATATCTGAGCTAAAAAGATAGATGTATTGAAGGAAAATCTGTTTTTTTTCTTTTCACCAATGCAATTTTAAATACTTGGTTCTAGTATCATAACTGTTAATTTGGTATGAATACGGTTTGATATAAGGTTCATGGACATATAAGTATTATTGATACAAGTAAAACAATGTAAATTAGTTATGTGTGAAGAACAAGATGCATTAATAGCTTGTTAAGAATATCTAAAATATATCGACAATCGTCTATTTGAAATTTAGGGACATTGTAATAAATTGAACATAAAAATATCTTCATGTAAATGTATCATACATGTACAATGTAATTGTTATAATTATGTTGTCAGCAATATAAATGACATATGAAATGTCCATCAATTAGAATCACCAGCTTCTTTGAAGGAAACATCTTTTCATTTGTTACACAGTAATGTAGGATATCATTGCCGTGACAGAACCTTGCAAAATGAT